TAAGCTACTAGCGAATCCGCTAAGTGTGCTAAGTTACAGTCTGATAGGTAAGGTAGGTCTGGACTCGGAATTCCGAGGAGGAGGAGGAGCAGCAGTAGCCGCAGTAGCCGCAGTAGCAGCAGCTGCAGCAGCAGCAGTAACAAGCAGTTGGCAGGCCAACCTGTAACTTAATTGGTTCAATCCCCCACTTTAGTTGGGCAGAGCTCCAATGAAGGTGAACCTTCAACCTTGAATCAGAAGAGTAAATTAAAGTGTAAACAAGACAACCCAAAGTTCGGCCCGGAAGATGGTCTGTTGCCCTGTTTCACTCGCGGCTCCACCACCTTTGCTTTCGTTCCATCATTCATCATCCATCCGTCCTCCCCCTCGCATCGATTGAACTGTCATTCGGAGTAATTTTAACTCAAGAAGTTGCCCAATTGAAAAAAATAAAAAATCAAAAAGGGGGGGAAACTCTTGCCCTTCCTCCCGAGTCAGCCTGGATTCTGGAACCTCTGGAACCAACTCCCACTACTCGCCTCACTCGACCCTCGACAACCCGGACAGTACTGGAAATCAACCCCCATGCAGCCTCCAGGTTGCCAGTGCAACCGCCCGTGTTGACGGCGCAATCGTTCTTCCCAGCCCCTCACTATTTCCCGGCTCTCGCTTCACACTGGATGGGTCCTCAGATGGATGGGCCTGTCCGTCTACGGAGTACTATGGAACACTATGTACTCCGTACGGTGACTTAGTCCACCCATGACGATTATGTTAATCAATTTCGTCCTGCCACAGAGTCCTCATTTCATCTAAAGTCGGATCCGATCGGCCGCAATTGCGATGTTGCCTGCTGATGAGATCCATGTCAGTGTGTCACTTACTCACTTCTCCTCCTAGCCACCAAGCCCAAATCCATCTTCTGCATTCCTCCCTCCTCCTCCTCCTCCTCCTCCTCCCCCCTCTCCTCCGCCAGTAGCACCATCATACCTTTCGACTCTCGCTTCACCCATATCCTGAAGTACTCGCTCGGATCCAAAGCAATTGGATCGGCTTAGTTTGACGATCCTCGCCCATGTCGGCTGACCTGGTCTCCAGCCGTGCCTTGTCCAGATCGTGCTAACGGGCTAACCCTTGCGCTAGATGCATTGCGATCTGTCTCAGATCAGCCTTGCTCTCGATCTCATCTCAAGCTCTCGTCTACACACACATGGATGGATGTTTCCCACAAGGACACGGAATGCGCAGATCTGTCGGCGCCCACGTGGTGTCGACGCTTCTACTTGCCTTCGTTCTACTCTGCGCTGAGCCGACCTCTGCGCTGATTCCATATGAACCGTCGTACCTGCTCTACAGTCTCGACCACAATGGCTCATTTGCATATCTTTTGCATTCGGGGGGATCTAGCCAGAATGTCACCACGGAACTCCTGGCCTTGAACGTGTCGGAAGTCGTTGACGCCGCGGAACCGCACTATTCGACACTGACAAGCTCGTTACCCTTCCAGCACCATGGAAACGGTTCAGCTTATGTACCTACCATTGACGCCGCTGGCGTGATCAAGGTATTCGCAGGTAGCTGCCGGGACACTCTGGACCAAGGCGCGCTATGGCAGTTCACACCCAAAGCGAACGACTCCGCGGGCAATGGCACCTGGGAACAGCTGGCCATAGATAGCTCCGCAACTCAATCCAGTGTCGCTGTGGATGGGCCCAATTTCCTTTCGGCGGGTTTTGCATATGCGCCCACCAATACGTCTGACAGTTCCATCTACACATTCGGCGGCATGTGCCCGTTCACGAATGCCACAAACCAGACCTGGATGGCCGCTGCAAACTATTCCCAGTCGATGATCGTTTTAAATCCTCATACTTCCGGGGACACTGTGTCTTATGACGCCTCTACAACTGGCAGCCGCGCCCCTCCAATCGCGGAGGCCGGGTTTACGATCACGCCTCTGCAGGCGTCCTATGCATATTCCTCCACCGGAGAGCCGCGCAAGCAGCAAGATTTTCTCCTGATTGGAGGCCAGACCCGGGACGCCTTCATAAACATGTCGCAGCTGGCCGTCTTTTCTCTCCCGCAGAATAGCTGGAGTTTTGCGAATGTGATGACTGCACCGACCACGCTCAAAACAGAACTTGCCGTACGGGAAGTCAACGTGGTGGAGCCAAGATCAGGGCATACAGCAGTCCTGTCTCCAGACGGTAGCAAAGTCATCGTCTACGGAGGCTGGGTAGGGAACACGAGTGTCGCAGCTCAACCGCAGCTAGCTATCCTGGAGCTTGAAGCGGACTACGAAGAATGGACCTGGAGGATACCATCGATTACAAGTTCTGGAATCGGAGAAGCGGCGGGAATATACGGACATGGTGCCACAATGCTTCCTGGAGGAGTGATGATGATCGCAGGAGGACAAACCATTCCGCATCTATCTTCCAAACTCTCTTCCAGGAGCTCTCTAAACACCTCGCAGGTCTACCTGTACAATGTCACATCGGGGCATTGGATATCAACCTATGAGAACCCTTACTCACGAAAAGACAGTGTATCTGATTCTGGCACCTCGAGTTCGCGCACAAAGACTGGGCTTGGTGTCGGTCTGGGTCTGGGGATCCCCGCGGTGATTTGTTTAGCAGTGTTCCTCTTCTTCTATAGCCGCAGGCGTTACGAGCGTCGCTCACGGGATCGAGAACTACGCAACTTGGCTCTTGGCGCACAAAGAGCTCATTTCTGGGGCGGCGAGGGCCCAACTATGGCGAGCAGCATACGCAGGCCCTTTTCTGGGGAGATGGAAGAGATTGCCGACTGGGGGAGTAAGCGCGGATCTGGGCAGTCGTCTGTCTGGCGTGATAAGGCAGGAGGGACGATCGCGGAGAGCACTGGCCTGCTTGGGGAAGCATTGAGTCCCACCAAGACCAACCTGTCTGGCCCAACAGCGAGATTGTACCGGCCTCCAACTCAATACAGCGAGTTCCGCAGAAGCGATGCCACCGGAGAAATCCATCCAATCGACGAGCGCGAAGAAGACGAGGCAAAGAACGCCGGAATGATCATTACGCAGGAGACATACGACCAGCCAAGAGGATCAGCCTTTCTACCGCCCTTAGGCGCCAACATTGGCTACTCAGCTGTCCCCCTCGTACCCCCCGAGTTCATTGCCGGAATTGGCATCGATCAAGATGGTGGCTCCGCCTCGCCAGACAAAGGAGACCGGACTTCATCCAACCTGTCCGATTCATCGACTACTTCGGCGAAGTCTATCATGCAAGCCCGTGCGCTCAACCTCCCGCATCTCTCCTCCTCCAATCAGTCGATAAGCGGACGACAAATCCCCCTGAAGTCCACCGAAGCAGCTTCTGCCTATAGCAGTGGTGGTGCCAGCAGTAATGGCAGCAGCCGAGAAACCCCGCGCAGCCGGCCGAACAGCATGGCGCTATCCTTCGTGGAACAATGTTATACCTCGGATTCCTACTCGACTGCGCAGACCTCGGTGTCTCAACGCCACTCCGAAGGCGAACACCTCCTCCAACATCACCAACACTCCCAGAGCCTCGAAGAGCCTACCTCCCCACTTGCTCATACGCTCGAGCTCTTCCCGATGCCCGATAGCAAGCCCACCGCCTTGCCCACTGTAGGCAGGCCTCGAGCCTCCGACTGGATCGGCAACAACGTCCGCCGCGTCCTCTCTCTCACTCGACGTCGACCACCGACGGCAGACTTCGCCGAACCCCCCGGTGCGTTCACCTCAATCGCCTCCGGCATCGACATCAACCTCGACCGACGAAGCACCATCGTCGGCAACGGTAGCAGCAGCAGCAGCCGCCCGTCCCCCGTGACGTCCCTGGCTGCCGGATACGGGAACACGCGGATTCCGCGCCGTTCCGTCAGCGCCTCCGCCGAGCTCTTCCGTCGCAAACAGGGTGCCCGGGACTGGGGAGCCGGGAAGCGAAGCTCGGTCGCTGGCCCTTCGTGGCGCGACGACATGGGGGTCGGTGACGAGCGTGCCGGCTTGTATTCCGATGGCCTGCGCCGGTATGCGGATGCCGACGGCGAAGAGGACGGGGACGACGACTGGGATGTCGAGGGTGCGGCGGAGGGCCGACGGGTCCAAGTGACCTTCACGGTGCCGAAGGAGAAGTTGCGAGTCGTGAACGCTACGGCGGGGGAGTTGGATGGGGTTTCGGAGAGATCCGTCAGTGGTGGAATTCTTCCTCGCATGGTCTGCGAGATCTGAAACAGCGTAGCGATCCTGTGGGTACGTCCATACGTAGTCCCTCCCAGAGAACGGGGGTAGATCGGCCTCGTGCTATCTTTCCTCTGTAAGTTTCGGGTGGTTATATCCTGGCACTGACGGCTTTCCCTAGCCCAGCCCAACTTCGCGCTCCCCTTCGTTATGATTGTTACCCTTGATTTTGGTTTGTGCTGGATATACGATGTTGGCCATGTTGATATCAAACGATATATGTATGCATGTATGTATGTTTTCACGAGGCATGTGGTGGAAACTGAGGTTTTTCCATGATATAACGATCTTACTATAGTTTATGAGCCACGAGTAAAATCCACGAAAATGCGAATATCCCAGCCAGATAGAAACATCCCTATGTACCCAGTATCACCGGAGTCAACGGAACATCCAATCGGGGCAAGCCGGCGTCGCAGGCTGGGCTCGACCGATTAGGGAAGGCGCGATGGAAGTTGAAAAGCTGTTCAGCAACAATGATGTGTGGTAAACAACCAGATGCATGCTCGTATTCTATGAAGCCGAGGTTGGATATACCAGAAGAAAAAGAATAATATAATGATTCATCCAAAAATGTCATACCATGATATATATCGCTGCACTCTAGTTTTCATGAATGGTGTCTCGAAACAAGTAGACCAAAAAATAAATAGGCAACACTGAATGTAGTGTTGAAGCCACATTCAAATCAATGAAGGAAACAACTTTTCCCAAGCCTGTTCCCGGAAATATATGGAGAAAAAAACCATGAAAAAGAAACATAAGGAGGATAATTGATTCGATTAGATTTTCATGATGCAATGAGGAGAAAAGGGCCTTTTTTCTTTTTAGTTAGAACCGCTCAGGGTAGGACGGGTGGGGATGGTGTTGGGCAGGGGAGGCAGGAGGCTCTTGGCGCTCTCGCGAGCATACTGAGCCATAAGGGCGTCCATGATGACCAAGGCGGACATGGCCTCGACGATGGGGACGGCGCGGGGGGTGACGCAGGGGTCGTGGCGGCCCTTGGCCTCGAGAACACCCTCCTCCATGGCGTAGGTGGCAGTGTTCTGGGCCTGGCCGATGGTGGCCGGGGGCTTGAACGCGACCCGGAAGTAGATATCGGCGCCGTTGGAGATACCACCCTGGATACCGCCGGAGTTGTTGGTCTTGGTGGTGAGCCGCTGCTTGGTGGAGGTGTTGGGACCGAGCTGGGATGCCACGTCGGACACAATGAAGGGGTCGTTGTGGATCGAGCCGGGAACCTCACAGCCGCCGAACCCGGAGCCGATCTCGAAGCCCTTGGTGGCGGGGATGCTGAGCATCGCGTGGGCGATCTTGGCCTCGAGCTTGTCGAAACAGGGCTCGCCCAAGCCGACGGGCACGTTGCGGATCACGCAAGTGACGGTGCCACCGATGCTGTCGTGGTTGTCGCGGAACTGCTCGATCACCTTGGTCATGCGGGCGGCGGCATCAGCATCTGGGCAGCGGGTGGGTACGAAGGAGTCGACGGTCTTGCGGTCGATGGTCTTGATCAGGTTCAGGAACTCGGGCTGGGTGGAGGCGGTGGGGTGCTCGGGAGTAGGGGGGAACAGGTGTTCGTTGCCGACGGAGGAGACAAAGGCGACGATCTCAACACCGTGCGATAGGCGAAGGTACTTTTCGGCAATGGCTCCGGCAGCGACTCGGCCTGATCGTATTTCTTAGTATGTTTCCTTCATTTCACCGGCAGGTCTGAGGGTTGCACCCACCGATCGTCTCGCGGGCACTGCTGCGGCCACCACCACTGCTGGCCTTGACGCCATATTTCTCAAGGTAGGTGAAGTCGGCATGGCTGGGACGGGGGTACAGGTCCATTGTGCTACCGCCGTAATCCTTGGGTCTCTGATCCTCGTTGCGCACCATCATGCCAATCGGAGTGCCCAGAGTGACACCGAATTCTGTTCCTGACTGGATCTCGACGCGGTCCTTCTCGTTCCGAGGGGTGGTCAAGGCACTCTGGCCGGGGCGTCTCCGAGTCATCTGCGGCTGAATATCATCCTCAGTGAGCTCCATTCCGGGTGGGCAGCCATCGACAATACAGCCGACAGAGCGGCAGTGCGATTCACCGTAACTGCGGGGAGAAAAACCATTAGTTTGACCGTAATTTGCTACGCCTGTGTCGAAGGACACAGATGATGCGACGCAATTGAAAGGAAGAAGACCTACGTGGTGACGCGGAAGTATTCACCCCAGGTCGACATGGTGGGCTGATGTGAAGTGATGCGATGTCGGCGTCGAGATTTTTCCCAAGTGGGAGGATCAATCGGAGTAAAGGCAGGAAGAAAGAGGAAGAGGTCGCGGATAGAAGAATTGACAGCCTCTAGGGAAAAGGAAGAAGAAGGTGAGACCGGAGTGGAAGAAAAGAAGATTGGAACAAGGTGGGTGGCCGGTGGAGTGGAATGGAAGAGTGAGTGGATAAGAGGGAGAAAGCAGACAGACAAAAGAAGAATGAATGACTGATTCATGGCCGGCCGATCGCGAGATCGCCTTTAGCCTTTGGAGGGGCATTTCCTCTACCTATGGCTTCCCGCCTTGGTTTTCTGCCGCCCTTTTGCTTCATCGGGTATAGCCCCCGGAGATCGGCTGCTTCTTTACTCGATGCAGCCCGCGGGAGAGCATGACTACCGCCATTTCCCATTCGTCCAAAGCTCAATACAAGATTGATACCGCCAGTACCGTAAGTGACAGGTACGATACACTCTCACCGCCTTGCATCCCCGGTCCATGGGACTCCAATGATCATCACCAGCAATCAATCATCATCACCGTCTTCCTTTATCGATCAACGTAAAATAAAATCTCATGTGGTGCTCACCTCCTGCATCTCGCCTGATGCGCCAACTTTTCCGCACCTCCTCATTCCGACCCTCGTCACTCGCATCCTCCCAATGGCAACATACGACGTCACCCGTACCAATGCGGTGGAATTCCTCCTTCGCAAATAATCGTTTCGCGCAGCTCGCCAGCCGATCAGCTTCCAAGCACCAAATATACCAATCGCTGTCCAACGACCCCTACGTCAACCTTTCTATCGAACATTTCCTGCTCCAACATGCGCCCGCCGACTCGAATATCCTATTTCTGTATATCAATCGCCCCTGTGTCGTGATCGGTCGCAACCAGAACCCATGGCTCGAAACCAACCTTCGCGTGCTACACAATGACCGGACCGCCGCCGCCACCAGCAGCCCGTCTTCCCCCGACCAGACTGAAAATGCCACGGCTCCCCTTTACGTCCGCCGCCGCTCTGGCGGAGGCGCTGTCTTCCACGACGAAGGCAACCTCAACTATAGCGTGATCTCGCCGCGCGCGACGTTCACCCGCAACAAGCATGCCGAGATGCTGGTGCGGGCACTCCACCGCATCGGCGCGACCACCACCAGCGTTAACGACCGCCACGACATCGTCATGCAACTCGAGGACTCGGGGCGGCAAGGCGAGCAGCCTGATTTGCAACCGCGCAAGATCTCCGGGTCCGCCTTTAAACTCACCCGCGAGCGCGCGCTTCACCACGGCACCTGCTTGCTCGATTCTCCCAACATCGAACGGCTGGGCTCGTTCCTGCGCTCGCCGGCGCGGGAGTATATGATGTCGAAGGGGGTGGATAGTGTGCGGTCGCCCGTGGCGAATGTGTCGTCGGCCTTCAGGAATGCACCGGTCTCGTTCGAGATCCAGGATGTCATTGCGGGAGTGATGGACGAATTTGCGGGGCTATATGGAACATCCTCGGATGCTGTGCGCCGGGCGCAGAGGGCCCATATTGTGGAAGAATCGGAGTTGTATGCCGGAGAGGACTGGGTGGTCGGGACTGTGGGGGAGGAGCAAGGGTTTGGAGAGGCGGAGATCATGAAGGGCATCGAAGAAATGATGGTGAGTCGCGTTGACGATGCACTTGTTCTTGTTCTTGGATCTGTGGTATCGTATGCTAATGAGGCATCAAGTCCCTCGAGTGGAAATACTGTCAAACACCCCGTTTCATCTTCTCGACCCATCCGATAGAAGGGGAGGACCCGCGCGACCGGCCTCCTCTGCCGGCCTCCTTGCCGCCATCTGTGAGTTACCCTCCCGGCGCCTGCCTCACCTATGTACGGCTGGGCTGTCAGCAATAAGCTTGGCTGACCTTCAAACTATCCAGACTCGCGTTTTTCTTCGTCTCAAACATGGCGTCATCGTCGAAAGCCACATCTCTACCTCCCCGGACACCTCTATAGCTGCAGAACAGGCAGCCCACTTACAAGAGGCCCTGAAGGACCGCAAACTCCACGAAATTCAGCCAGCCCAATGGATGCAGATTCTCTCAACTCATCTGGGTACCGAAGAGGAACCTCGAACAATCCAGGAACTCTCGAGGTTTGTCACGGATAAACTGGGGTGGGTCTAGATGCAGGTAATCTCATTTCTGATACAACGATTCATAGAAGATAGACGATAAAGCAAAGGTATATTAGCGATTGCATGAAAGAGGCGTTATGGTTCAAGGAATACATTCGAGGTGCTTTCTAAATTAGGTTCAGCATAAGACTAGGTTCAAGTTTAAAGGAATAATGATGCATTGTGCTTCAGGACAACACGGAGGAGTTGTCTGATTATAACCCACTCTTACAAAGCGAGAAATCGGTCGTGCCATCATTCGTAAATCGTTCATTCTACTTGATATGTACAAAGCCCATCTTCAAACAGCCCCAAGTACAGTGAAACAAACCAACGCCCAAAGATCGAGGATTGATATCACCGTATTCCTCGCGCCGCTGCGAAACGATCCTTGAGCTTCGATTGACTGCGAGTGATGCGGCGACCGGGCTCGTCCTCCAAACTCAGACCCCCGATCCCTGGACCCAGCTCTGATCGTCGGGGCGAGAACATCGAGTCACTGTTATAATCGTTGCTCTGTCCATAGCGAATGTTTCGAATTGTGTTGTTGGTGGCAGATGTGGCAGTTGTTACAGTAGTTTCAGTGTCCGAGTCACGGTCAAACGCGTCCGACACGTCGGACTCGTTGTCTTTCAGACTGTTCAGAGTGAAACTGTGATTTTTGGAGAATCCTCCGTCATATGGCGAAGGTGCGAATTGGGTGGGCGTGGCGGGTGCCTGCGTCGTGAAGCTCGAGGTAGGAAGAGTAGATGAAAAGGACAGGGGTGGCATGGATGGCTGACTGTCGAACGACTGGACCTGGCTCTGGTGATTAAATGCCGATGGGGACTGATGTCCAGTTACACGGCCATCCGAAGACGCGATGCGGCGTTGTTGTTGTCGTTGCTGCTGCTGCTGCTGGGATCCAGACCCATGGGCTGCAGCGAGGCGATACAATGACAGCAGATTCAGTGCCTCTTGGGCAGTCATGAAAATCAATAACAACTTCCCGTATGTGTTAAAAGATTGCCGCTGGTAGGCAACCCCAATTCGGGGAAGGTATCCCCCAAGATTAACAGCAGCAACCAGCTCGGAAAAGCAGGTGAGGATCTCCATGCCATTCCACTGCACGATAGGACGTTTCGTAGCCTCTAGAAGGGCGAACCCGGCGATAAGACTGGCACTGCCTAACGATGCGATCTCAACATAATTGCCCGGAAGCGAGAGTAGACCATATTCCGAAAAAGTCCAGGCAGCAAGAGAAACAATAAGAAGTCCTAACCGAAGGTACTGGTAGACAAAATAACTCCAGAGATTCACAGGGCGGTGGGCGTGTTCATTCGATTTTTGGTGTGCTTGCCAATAGTTGTCTTCTCCATCTTCAGGAGACTTGATGGTGAAGGTCCGATCGAACAAGCTCTCGAGTCCAGTTGTCGCGGTATGATCGCTCGTAGGAAAGAACTTTGGCGGTACAAACGCCGCGCCGGCATCACTGGTATTCCGTTGCCATTGTTGCGGTTGTGCAGGTGTGCGCTGGAACGGATTTCGTTCCACTTGTTGAGTAGGGTTAGTGGGGTTGATGGGGTTTGGGTATTGGGGTTTGCTACGCAAATTCCAGGCGGGTGGCTTGGGCGCAGCGGGCAGGAGGCCAAAAGACGGCAGCTCGCCATTGAGCCCAAAATTCTTGTCTCGCCGACGGACACTAATTGTGGGTGTAAGTTCGCGCTGGACAAGGGAAGGAGTCCAGTCCATATCGTCAGCCTCCGGAGGTGGGGTTGGGATGCTTGGTTCCTCAGGAGCTGTCCGTGACGAAGCAAGCTTGTCCAAAGGGAAACGAGAAGGTCGCTGCCGGAGATCGCCAGTAGGACTTGTAAACAGCCGGCGACTGTTTCCAGTGTTGTTACCAAAATTAGGTACTGGAGTCGCTTCAGTCGTCCGACTCGGAGTGGCTGCGGGGGTGTCATCATTCCAGACGACTAGCGGACGGGTGTCATAGCGCACAATGCGCCTAGAGATCGCAACAGACTAGAGGTAGGTGTCCTTCATTAGCGAGGTCGACACTAGGTTCTCTAGGATACGTACCAATAATGTGAAGAATAGCATGAACAAGTGTAAAGTCGGGGGAATATTAGCCTCCAGTCCGCTCGAAGAGGGTTCTCGAAGAACCGCCCAGAAGACGCATCGCACCACCATGACAATGAGCTGTACCTGATAGTACTCGCTCAGGCCAACAAAGCGTCCGCCCCTTCCTTCTACTTTCAAGCGTAGCTTGGGGTTCCACCACAAAGACAGAATGCCGACAATGAGAGCTAGCCCGGCATAAGGTGCTAGATCCATCGCGCAACAGCTCGGTATCCGACGGGTCTGCACTATCTCACGTGCGCACTCGACCAAATCAGGAGAGTTAGATAAGGCATCGGGGTCTTGCAGTGGTTCGGTTTCCTCAACGGCTAACGCACTCCAGATATTCCAGCTAAGTTGACCGGCAACACTAGCCCAGTAACCCATGGCGCCGGCCCAGACAAGAAGGCTTCTCCAGTTCCACCGACGTGCCTTTCTTGCCATCCTCCCAGCCTTACTTCGGTCCATCATCCGTCTCAAATGATCCGCTTTGGCCTCGTATCCGGTTTGACGAATGCGCTGTTTCACTCGAGGCTCGCAAGTGGCGCAAACCTGGGGATACCGCTCCTCTAGGTTTTTGCGAAATTTAGGATACTCGCGTTCGTATGCGCCGAAACTCGGGTCATCGGAAGGCGGGAAGTAGGATGCCAAGTTGTTGGTGAAGAGGTGTTGGTTGCGGAGGCATTTGTCGCAGAATAAACTGGAGCCTGTGAAGTCATTGGACTCGAAGGGCGGAGTTGATGCGTCAGGGCTGTGTACAGTGGGATTCGTTTCAGTAGCAGGGGGATCAGTAATTTCCCCGTTCTGAAGGGAGTTAGCCATGCTAAGCCCTGCTGTGATGGCATATGAGCACACCGTGAAGCTACAAGTGACCTACTTCATCCAAATAATTGATGGCCTCGCAATGTTGGCAACGCCATTTGCGAATGGGCTCTCTGTCAGCCTGGGGTGAGCGACACCCACAGTAAAAACACTTCAATCGCTTTGCGAAGAAAGGAGCCATCTCCTGTCAAGCAGGTGAACATTGATGGCGGGGAAGATATGTTTAGAAAGGGTGGATGACAACGGTAGTCGTGGTAATGATAGAGGGAAATGATAATGGGGCGAGGGGGACGGAAAAGAAGGAGTTAAGACAACAACAGCAAAATAATCGCCGAGCGCGGCACGGACCACGTGCTTGTTTAGGTAGTTTCGAGGCCGCCGCCAAACTGGCAACAATCATGAACACCTCACCTGCTGTCCTTGTCGTCATTGCTCTCGAGCTACAAAATGCCAGCAAGGTGGGATCTGATAAGCTTCTGAGGTGTGCACAACATAGCTTTGGAGGATTCTTGAGGTTCCTTGTACGATCACACCTCCGAATCGCATCCCCACGCACCGTCCGCAACAAACTAGAAAGCCAGCCTGTTCCTTCCCTTCGCTCAATTCGATCACCAATCGCCAATTCGCATAATGATGTCTTCGGTTCTAACTTGGGCAATGCTGCTCTGGGTCTTAGCCCTGATAGGTACTCTATGTATATTTGCAGCCTTCGTCAGTGCCATGCTGCACCTCGCCGTCCTTACCATAGCCGATGACTAACTCGAGGTCGACTTATAGCTCCTTCTCTACGCGTTGATTCAGTCGCACAATACCAAAGTGCCAAAGTGGCGCCCGAGAAATAGACCCATTCATCTCCTGGTGGTCCTGGGGAGTGGCGGACACACGGCGGAAATGTTCTCCATGCTCCGGCGCATGGAACTCGATCCAACCAAGTACACCTACCGAACCTACGTCGTGAGCTCCGGCGACAACTTCAGCGCGAAGAAGGCCATCGACTTCGAAACAACATATTTAAACCCGAATGAGGACCCTGCGATATCCGAGCGGCCCCCTCCAGCAATGGGATCATACTCTATCGTCATAGTTCCGCGCGCCCGTCGCGTACACCAATCTTACCTGACTGCGCCCTTCTCCACTCTCAGTTCCTTCTGGTCTTGTCTTCTGGTGCTACGCGGCTTACATCCAGACCAGGGACCACTTCGTTCGGAGTCGATGCACTCACCCCATCCAGACATCATCCTGACCAATGGGCCGGCTACGGCAGTCTGCATCATTCTGGCGGCTAGGCTGCTCCGACTATGGCACGCCCTTAGTACTATTGTTTTGCTTGGATCTAGGTCAGCCACCATGTCGAATGATTTCCGACTTCGCACAATCTTCGTAGAATCATGGGCTCGAGTCACCACTCTAAGCCTGTCAGGTAAACTCCTGCTGCCTTTTGCGGATCGCTTCCTCGTTCAGTGGCCAGATCTAGCGGGCAAGAGAGCGTGGAAAGGCATGCGGCAGACTGAATATGCCGGCACGCTGGTGAATTGACAGGCAACACATTTCGACCGATCGACCAAGGGCCAACTACTACAGTACTAGACCATAGATGGATAAACCATATGCACCTGGTATTGATGGTCCTGAAGATTGGAATATGAGCGGTGCGAACTGAGAGCCCTTCAGCGAAGTAAGGTAGATCGTAAGGTACTATATGTTTCTCACGCAAGTCTGTTAATTGGGCGGAAACTCCTCCACACGGTCGGCTATGCTATTCAGCTTGCTATTCTCTTGTCGAGCTCAAATCCTCACTCCAAACCTTACCCGTGTTGTAATGTTACATATTATGTATACCCACTACAATCCCACCAGAGCATCATACATTCTCTGCACAATCGCAAAGACCCGATTACTGCCGGGTCCAGGTATGTGTATTCCAAGAAACGGCAATTCTTTTACAGCAACTCTCAAACGGAGATTAGGGGCACAGGCACTCTTGTAACCTAAAAGTGTGCCGCGGAGGACTGCAACGTTGCTATTAACTTTTCCCGAGCAGAGACGCAGCTGAAGGGCTCGTGACAATGGTTCGAGAGCAGTAACTCACAATACAAAAGCGATCATCAGCCAAGGCGTATACAGTGTGCAGCCATAATATTGATGGATATAAGGAGAAAGACGAGCTGAAGAGAACGGCATAGTTTTCCATGTACCATGCATCCCTGCTGCTCATAAAACTGCTGGTAGGTTGACCTGGACGACACTGCCAATGCATATGCCATGTTCGCACAGGGCATGTCTGTGACTGGCCAAGTAAATTCAGGTCAGGAAGTGCTCCGGTCGATGGTATTTCCTTTAGGACTGATTCTACAGTTGCCGGATTTGCGATTTGTAGTGTGAAACCGTGGAGGAGGATTATCTGCAATGCTCGGCGTACGAAGGCCTGGATTGGCTGGTATGAAGGGTATGTAGCGATGGTATCGCAACGTCAATGAAATGATAGGCATTTTGTTTTCATCTCATTGCGTTCAATGTAGAGGATTGTAGAATGGTGTATATCCGATGTCCCCCGAGTAGAACGTTCGTTCGCCAATCATACGAGCCTTGCGAGCGGCTCGGAGAGCGTCTGTAGTCAACCCACCTTCAACCTTCATTTGATGAATCCTGACAAGCTTGTGGTCCCGAGTGAACACATATACGCCGTTTCCTTTATCCAATTCGATTGGAAGGGCGCCGTCTATAAACGGTAGGCCGGGTACGACCGAGAATTGATCGCAGCCTTTTAGTAAAGCTACTTCTTCAAACTCGGAGAATATGACGCGAAGATGTTGGAAGCTGGGCTTCCCACCAGATGTGCCGCTGCTGGCAACTAGGGATTTGCTCCAAAGCGGACCCAACACATGATGTCTTCTCTGGATATCATGCAAGGTCCACTTGGTCCAGTCAATATGTCGGTCTTCTGGCATGATCTTTGCAGCATGAATCAGAGTACCATCGTCCGCTGACGGGCGCCAGCCTACATCTTGCAAAGGGGGGACGAAAAGTCCCTTTTGGATGCCTTCAACGAGAATTTCCGCGCCCTTGGGGGCAACGACATCTAGCAGTTCCTGGACCGTGCAGGAAGCTGGGTTCGGTATGTCAAATCCTGGGAACGGCGTCTGCGCTAGAATAGTACCGTGGTCGAAGTGCTTCAGATGTAGAGTTTGCAATGTGACGCCAGTTCTGGTTCTATTGTTCAGGAGTGTGTGGTGTAGCGGTGCGGGACCGCGGAAGCTGGACGTTCTCGTTAGCAAGGCTGGATTTACTGATTACGATCTTGGGAGATGTGTACTCGGGGAGTAAAGAGGGGTGCACATTGAGACCCCCATATTTAGCACCATTGATAATTCGGGGAGGCACAAATAGCCCGAACGAGACAGCGACGATCAAGTTGATGGGCCCTTCCGGCAGGACAGGAGGCTAAGAGCGTTAACAGAAATGGTCCGTAGCTATCGGGAGTTTTGAAAATTACCGTCCAGCCCCGGAAAGTGTCAATTTCATGGATAGGAAGCGATAAATCTGTTGCGGCTGCTTTGATAGGGACTGTTGCGATCCACAAGCATGTCAGCAGTCAGTATCCCAATTTGTTTCTCATGCGCAACATACCTTCCTGTATCTTCTTCAACCCTCGCCCAACCCTTTTACCGGGTCTACAAACGACATCAATGGACGCGATCCGGTCCGGTCGAGAGAGATGTTCTGCATGGAGCGCTTTCAAGGAAGCAATACTGAATTCATCGGAGCCGCAGAAGAGTATGCGGAGAGGGTCGTAGGCTTTGGTCGCCAAGTATCGATTCGCAGAAGGTAAAGCATAGAGGGTGGGTCTGAATCCGCAGAGGGTCCCTGGGCCCCGGAAAAGCAGCATTGCATTCAATGCTCCCCACTGCAATGGTGCCTGAACAATCTACTGTGTATTATTTACACACTATCTCGTTGCTGTAGCTTCGGGAGAATCGCCGAACGCCGCCACGTGATGTCACCGCCTTCCTACTCCCCCCAAGAAGGAGAGAGAGTTTAACCAGCAACAAACAATTCATGATTGCCTCTCGCTCCGCTACGACGCAACTGCTCGGTACTCTCAGTGATATAGAGCTCACATGTCGATGGCGCAATGCCTGGTAATGCCTCTGCATCGGTGATTCCTGCGCAACTCTCCTTCCTCACCATCTACAACCCCCGCCTCGGACCGACAGACGAAACAACACAGGATCAGATCGTTTTCTATACATCTAGGTCAGATCGATCATCGCAGCGTGATAGCCCACTCCCTGAAGAGGGTGTCAATAGCGAACCTGATGGCGATCTGAATGATAAGTTGCGACAGATAGGATTGGCCCAGGGAATAGTAGGCTTTGCCAGGTGGGTGAAACCGCTGTCGAGGGTTAGTGAAAGGTTCGCGGGCTGATCTGGAATACCAGGAACTTCTCAGAGGGCAAGACCGTAGAGTATGTGGAAACGGAGAAGTCGCAGGTTATCTTGCACGAGCTTGAGCAGGATTGGTGGATCTTAGCAGTGGGTGGCCTATGTCGCCATATGTCATAGATAGCTGCTGAGATCTCTCTAGTCTGTTGAGCTGACTCGACTGCCATTTGATCCGGCTACTATCTCCCAAAACGATGGTTCAGCCACACCTAAATTCACATACTCTTCAAGGGAGATGTGCCCCCCACAGCTCTTGATACAACAGATGCGCCGGGCACACTCCATCTTTCTTTTACACCACCAGTTTACGCTCGACGCCCTCTACGATCATGTTGGCAGGTCCAAATTCTGTACGCTCCTCGACAGCTTCTGGTCGCGATTTGCCTGGAGCTGGGATATGCTTCTAAGTGGGAGTCCAGTGGTCGATATGTATGATGGTATCAAGCTCTCTGCTGGAGGTGAGCTTGGGGTTGGCGTTGGCGAGGAAGAATGGGGCAGCGGGGAGAGAGAGGTCTTGGAGGACTTTGTTTCTAGGACGGATGGACTTGTAGATATGATCGTCTCGCGATTTGGAGACTCTTCTACATCATCGAAGGAGTCTGTCTCGGAAAACAGAGGAGCAACCTCCAAGAGCAAGAGTGATAACGCAGAATCCTGGCTTGGTGCGGACGTTTCCCCCAAACCTTCAGATGGAGTCATATTCTCTGGGGTTGGCGCTCTCTCAAGACCCTCAGTCGTGAGAGTCTCTCAGTGGGTGGAATGGATTTATAGATATGGCGTTGACGCGTATGCAGTGAGCGAAGACCCGGCTTGCCCTCGCCGGCGGAAAAGACGAAAGAAGCATCGGGGAAGGCTTCCAGTTGGGAACGAGACTGACCGTCAAGCTGGATCTGTTGTCAAACCTGTTGATCATGCAACTTTAGATCGTTCCTTTTCTCCCGGCATACCTCGTCCGCTCGTGGTAGGGACTTCAGACGCTTCACAGCCGCCAGCAGAGTCTGGTGTGAAGACAAGCTCTATCACCAGCAGCAGTGGGAGCTCGTCAGTGCGGAGTGACCGGGCAAATGACTGGACGATGCCCGGCTCGGACACACTAATGAAATATCTCACTCTCGGGTATGGCTCATCTTGGGGCCCATCATCTAGGACAGGGAGCCCGCATCCTCGCATCGAAGTATTGAGGCGAGAGGACGACTCCTCAAGCCCGAATCACCAAGTGAAACCTTCTACCAACTCCGACGAATCAACTAAGGGGGATACTGCCGATATCGAGGATAAGAATAAGCCGAAGAACCCTGGTCGATTCCTCATCGGGTTCCACAATACATCAAGCATCAACACCGCGGACAGACTTCAGGGAGACAATGAACCATTGAACACGCTCACTGCGGATTCGAGCCATGTGATTGACCAAAGAACGTTGCACGTCCGACTGACAATCCCCTTCGAAGAGGCTGTTCCTCTAGACGAAACTCCAACTGGTAAGCAATCTTGATCTGAGAGCAAAGCGGAATTACCCGGTGGCTGATCACAGGCATACTAGGCTCGGTGAAGTTGCGAACAATTGTCTTCGTAGTATGTCGTGCATCCACAGATACCTCCCTGCTTGGTACACTGACAATTCTGTAGCACCAACCATTCATATACACGTTCCTTTACGATCCTTCAACCCCCTCTCTATCCCAGCCATCCTTCTACCACGACCTTCGCAACCAAATGAGCATCCTCCACAAACCGCTGTGCAACTCCACGTCCCCAGCTACTGCCGCGAAGCGAATCGCCGTATCCGACAGCGCGTTCGAGGTGAACAACCGATTCTCAACCCCAGGCCAACCGGTATACAATCTCGTGTACGATCCTACCAACTTAACCATCCGCTCCTCCATCCCCAACATCCCGGAATTGGGGGCTCCGAGCACCACCGAACCTCAAGATCGCACGATGCTACCGCCGTGGGCGCGGGTTGAGAGCCTCAACATCCACCACCGACTTCTAAGCACATACACGGAAACGCGCTCTCGGCCCCTGGAGGTCGAAAGAACCTGCAAGACCAGTCGCGGCTGGTGGATTGTTTGGATGCGGATGTCTGACAGTAGTCCCCTATCTCCACCGGGACAAGAAGATGCCTCTGTTACCGGGACGAGCACGAGCGCACCGGCCGAAACCAACATCGGTAGTACTAAAACTGGTGGTGATGGTGGAGCTGATGGAGGTGCCACGCAGCAGGAGGCTTTCCTTATTCGGCGATCAAGCGATCATGTCTCTTCATCAGGACATGCCCGCAGCGGTAGCGGCTCCAGATTCTTTCGGGATCTTGGAGGCGCCTCATCACCAGGTCTGCAGGCGGCAAGGACCGATACAGGGCCAGCGAAACTCGTCGAGGGACTGGGCCTCGATGCCAGACGGTATATTGGAAATCTATTAAGTTTGAATAGGTAGGTCTGGCCATGAACACCAAGGGGGGGATTGGGGGGGGGGGTTGCTCTTACGTAGGCCTACCTCCAGCAAATCCACTACGTATACATCTCCACACAAATGTGCTAAATAAACTAAAGAAGCTAAATAAGTCGTCTCCCATGCCGCGGGCCTCGGACCTTGGTGGTCTCTATCATTTAGAGAACCATCACCACAGCACCAGACAGGCAACTAAATTTCATTAATAGCTTCAGGCAGAAATGCTCCTCGGTAACTCAGCACATGAACTAAGCTTGGCCACAGCTGCGATTCTCAAGACCATCTTATCGACGGTGGATCTCGTACCAATGTCATGATCAGCATCCCTCCCCTCCACCTCGTCATTCGCCCATTGTCCTTTGTTCAGGAGTTACATACAAGCCGCAGGGTCCACTCAAGTGTCCCCACTCGGCAGGAGGGAATAAAAAAAGTCCCAATATGTGCTACATCACTCATGGACTTACTCTTACCGAGACAGGGTTGCATACTCACTACCCTACAAGGTACGATGATAGCCAAATGGGCTCATCGTTTGAGTCACGATAATGCGACGTGGATTGGATTCGTTCTACCAATGAATTCATGGTCCAGGCAATCAACAGATATTGTTGAAGCCTGGAAAGGAAGCCTTGGGCGCATGCAACCGAGAGCATGGCAAAGATAAGCACTGCATGATCAGAAGACAATGAAATAAGGATGAGTTCTGCTTCAAGATTCTCTTTCTTCATGGCTTAACATCCGCTGCGAAAGACACATGTATAGTTATTAAGATCGCGTGACTGACAAGATAGGGGAACAAAGAAGGGAAAATGGGGAGAATGGGTTTAAACTCAGTGACAATTCCATGCATTCTCTTTAACCGAAAATAAACAAACAAGGACAGCAGATTAGAACACAGCAAAGTGGGGGAAATCTGATTATGATGATGAGACTGTGCTGGGGGAGATCTCATAGGCGAGGCAAGTGTGAAGAACATCTGGCCCATCGTGGAAATGTGCGGATTTTCTCAGTAACCAGACCATTTCTCAGAGATCGAATGCAAAGGATCCATGCGAAAAGGATAGGGCTGCGCATCGACTTGCGCTGCTTTGAACCTCCATAATCCGTTGCAGCGAGGCCTCTTTTTGCTTGCAGCAACCCGGCGCCCAGTTTGTCATAGTGGATGATCGCGACCGCCCCGGAGGCGCCTATAGGGAACTGGAAGATAAAAGATAAGAAAACCCACAAGGTTATGAAGACAAGACAACGCCTCCCTAGAAAATAATGTCTGCAAAACAAGAATGTCGACCAACTGCATAGCCAGATAATCCCATAAAGCTCGTGTGCCGTGATTGAGCATTATCCACACTCGCATCCAGGCACAGATTGGAACACGCCAGCGGAGGACCCCTTCGGAGTAAAATGATAGAAACCAAATATTCGAGACGCTTATCCGTTCATATAATCTCCGCACGAAACAGACCTTTTGCAAAGGAAACAACTAGTTTACAGGATGGTGCACTTCTTCTTGCTCTTGTGGGCCTTGGTCAGGAGCGCAGCCCGGGTAGCCGCCTCAAAGACCTCACGAACGCCCTCGTTGGTACGGGCAGAGCACTCGAGGTACTTGTAGGCACCAATCTTCTTGCGAACCTCCTCACCCTAGGAAAAAGTCAGCGACCAATCCAAAGTCAGCTAGTTAGCGCGCCAAATGGACTTACCTGCTCAGGGGTAACCGGCTTCTGAGAGGTCTTGTGGAGTTCTTCAATGGTCTTGGGGTCGTGACGGAGATCCATCTTGCAGCCGACGAGAATGATAGGGAGACCCTGGCAGAAGTGCAGAACTTCGGAGATCCACTGCAGACTTATCAGCATGTTGATCCAAGAAAACCTGGACACGCGGAGGCTTCATTCTCAAGGTCGAAAATGGTGGAACTGCTCACCTTCTCCTGAACGTTGTCCAACGAGTCAGGGGAGTCGACAGCAAAGCAAATCAGGATAACGTGAGAGTCGGGGT